TTTGAATCGACCTTCTGGGTTTTTATTCAAGTTCCGAGACTATGCATTTCTGAACCCATGATTTCTAAAGCATCTCGCAGGGTGTACGCCACCAAAGCCTCGAGATCCTCTGCCCACGCGCCCACGGCCTCTTGCGCCACGCGCTCCGCCGCGGCCTCGGCGGGCGGGGGGACGCCGTCGGGGCGGGCGGCGGCCGGCAGGGGCCCGCCGGCCCGCTCGGGGCCCGTGTTCGGCGTGCGCGTCGCCGCCAGGGAACGCGACGTGCCGCGCATCCTCCTCCTCCTCCTCCTCCTCCTCTTCCTCCTCCTCCTCCTCCTCCTCCTCCTTTTCCTCCCCCCTCCTCCTCCTGCCCCCTCCTCGTCCACGGTCTCACCGGCATCCTCGTTGATGACCTCCCAGCGTAGGGGGTGAAGGGTGGTGGACGGGCGGTGCGCCGCTGCGGGCGCGACTGCCCGCGCAAGGCCTGCAGCTGCGCGACGGGCCCCGCCGCCCCGCGAGCCGAGCAGTGCGCGCGGCGGCAACCCTCGCCTGGACCGGGTCGGCTTGCTCCTCATCGCCGACGTGCTCCTCGACGATCCCGTCCTGCGCGTGGCTAGGCGCCTTGTCGAGCAGCACGGGGGTCGCGGGCTGCCGTCCCAGGCGGGGGCCTGCCGCGGCCCGCGAGGTGCCCTCTGCGGACGCGCGCGCGAATCCGCCCGCAGGGGCCAGCAACGCGTGTCTCGCGGCGTTCCGCCGCCGCCGCGTCGCGCCTTGGACACGGCATCCCGAGGCGGCCAAGCGCAAGGCAGGGCGCGCAGCAGCCTCGCGGTCCTGCCAGGATCTTGGACCGCCGCTGGCCGCCTTGCCAGCCGCCGCCACGACAGCAAGGAGGCGCCGTACCCGCGCCCGTCGGCGGGCCGCCGAAGCGCCAACCTCGTCCTCCTCCTTCCTGCGCAGCGCACTGCCACGCCTGATGGGCCGCCCCGCCCTCGCGCCAGCGGGCAGTTCCCCGTCGCCATTGCTCATCTCCCAATCGCGCGCCACTGACCGCTGCGCGTGGGCGCCTGCGAGAGATATGGAGAAACAGCTTGAGCCAAAATGGCTACGCATGATGATGATGATGATGATGTTGCTGCTGCTGATGATGCTGACGCTGATGCTGATGCTGATGATGATGACGATGCTGATGATGCTGCTGATGATGATGATGCTGATGCTGCTGCTGCTGATGATGATAATTCTGATGATGATGCTGCTGATCATGCTGATGAGGTTGATGATACGGATGATGCTGATGCTTCTGATGATGATGCTGAGGCTGATGCTGATGATGCTGATCATGCTGCTGCTGATGATGCTGCTGATGAGGACGCTGATTGTGACGATGCTGATGCTGATGATGCTGATGATGACGATGGTGGTGGTGGTGATGATGATGCTGCTAATGATGCTGATGCTGATGAATGAATGATCAGAGGAGGCGAAGGAGGAGGCGGAGGAGGAAGAGGCGGAGGAGTAGGAGTAGGAGGATTTGGAGGAGGATATGAAGGACAATAACGAGGATAATGAGAAGGAAATGGAAAAGGAGAAGGAGAAAGAGGAGGAGGAGGAGGAGGAGGAGGAGGAGGAGGAGGAGGAGAAGGAGTAATTTAGAATGAGGGGGAGGTCGGGGGGAGATTGAGAATGGGGTGGAGGAGGAGGAGGAGGGCGCGGAGAGGAGGATCCTCCGAGGCTCGACCCTCGAGGATCTCGATGGCGATTAGAGACGACGATGCCGACGAAGCCGATGACGCCGCCGCCGCCGCCGACGACGACGCCGCCGACGCCGACGCCGCTGCCGACGCCGACGCCGACGCCGACGCCGACGCCGACGCCGACGCCGATGCCGACGCCGACGACGCCGCTGCCGCTGCAGGCTGCCGGTTGCCGGCTGCCGGCTGCTGGCTGCGGGCTGCCCGCTGCGGGCTGCCCGCTGCCGCCGCGCTCCTCCCCTCGCTATCGTTTCACCGATCCCCATC